CAACTGTACTGATAAAAGTAGCGACAATTGAGCGTGCACTCAGTTGAACTAAACCAGGTTCCTAGCACGTGAATATGTTCCATTCCTACCCTTTCATCTAAAGAAGCAAAGGAAAGTTGAGCTGCTCCACTATCTGGACTTGGACTAATAGCGAATAAAATCATATTTCCAATTTCCATCATAGCTCGGTTGATGCTGATTGATTGGTTATATTTCACTTACACACCGATTCTTCAATTGTGGAATTCTATAAACCGCTAAATCGCTCGATATCAATGCTAAATGTTTACGAAGTCATGATAAGTACCATTTTCATTCCGCATGCTACTGCGCGCATTACGCGACAATCTTCAGCAAAATTGGACAACCTTTGAAATTCATGTGACACATCTTCCAAACATCTTACTGTTAGTTTCTCAGCCACGTGACCTAATATTCTGCAAGTTGTCCAGTTTCACTAAAGCCCACCATTTGATGCGCGCGGTTGCGTGCGGAGCTAAACTGGTAAACAAATAATTGATGCGGTTCGTTTCGCTCCTTCCCCAGACGAACCTTACCTTAACTTCATACCCAAAGATACTTAACCAGTAAATATTGCCATCATCATCTCTATCGGTCGGATAGTGGGTGGAGTCAGAGTCAACCGTGAGTTTAGCCGAGCCACGGTTCGTATTTTTTCGGGAATGGCGGTCGTATTCAGGGTTTACAGAAGTTAAAGGAATCTTGCGCGGAAAATTCTTGCACTCTTTCCTAACATGAATATGTCAGTTGTGATCACTGGAAATAGCACACAAAGTTTCACGCATGAAGATTCGGTTTCTGAAGAGAAACAAACGTACAAAAACTACACGTTATGGACCATCGAAGGACCAGGAGGCAGAGCCAGGCGAGGCATGGAAAGAAGACGGCGTTTGGCCGGCTACGTACCAGGCGACGCAATGAGAGAATCGGGTTAAAGCGCGCGATTTCGGAGAGTGGAGACAAATCGATCGATGGAATAGGATGGAGTAGAAGTGTAAGATGTGAATGCAACGAAGCAGAAGGCCAGAAAGAGCTTCTAGTGAATGCACTCCAAGAACCAAGTTTGAGCATCCCCGTCGCCAGCATTCGTGAAAGACGTCCGTGGGCAATTCGAACGCGTAGCAGCCTTTTCGAGTTTTCGAATTTCTAATCAAAACGAAAGCAATACTTCAGTTCTTTTCACTATTATCGTGGATAATGAGTCTCAAGCCAGTGATTTATGGCTGAAATAGAATCATGATTTTTCCGCGCAAGATTCCTTTAAAATCAGTTTCGATAGATATCGAAGGAAGTCAAGGAGGTTCGCGTTTGAGTAAGAGTTGGTTGTTTCAGATGATTTTGACGATTTCGTGGTAAGCTGTTTCTGCATATATGAGCACCCTCCCCACCCCAGCATTCTCCTCCATGGCAGTTTTGAAGGGGAAACGTGGGGAGTTGTAGTTTCCCGACAGCCTTCAAAACACGAAGCAGCCTCGTGGTGATGGTGCAGGTTAATAATACATGTCGTTTCGATAACTTTGTTGCATATCAATATTCTGTTTGGGCGAAAAGTCAGGAAGAGGTCAGCGCAAGGGCACCTTTAGTCAGGATTGACCTTTCACACCTCGCCGTGGTTATCTCGCACCACCCTGTAACCTGCCTCTGGGTGGACCTCGCTTAATTAGCTGAGCTGAGTGCTGACCCAACTCCGACAGACTCATTATAGATAATATTATATTATATTGGTAATAAATTCATTTATACAGTAGCGGTTGGAGGAAACAAAATATCAGAAAAAATGGATAAAAATGGGAGCTCAAAAATAACTAATTTTTAGCTAACAGCACTCGCAGTGCAAGCCGTTTTCCACGCAGAACAGCTACGAAAGGTGAAACTCCAGTTCAGTTGGGGGGGGGGCACTCCATTGTTTCTCCAATGCTCAAGATAAGGATGAGAGCACTCATGGCACGTAATCGGCTCATTTATACTTCTGATAGTATCGCTGTAATGTGGAAGAAGTCCCCAAGATGTCCTCACAATTCCGCCTGCCATGGTACATGGAAACGGTCCTGGAACAAGGATAATGAACACGGATAATGAACACCTCTGCTTAGGTCTAGGGGTAGAGGAGCTCCAGGGTGGATGACCTGGATAGTAAAGTGGATAGCATGTGGGCAGGATGTGTGGAACGGAGGGCATCCACAATCCTTATCAAAAGTACGCTTAAATTAATTCGTTTACTTATTACCTTATCATAGCGTTGGATAGCACAAATGAATGCTCTCTAGTACTACGGATAAGTTAGCAATGGAGTGCCCCCCCCCCCAACTGAAGTTTCAACTTACGAAATTAAAAGTTTCGCCCAACTTCCCGACAGGCAAATTAATTTATGAAAGTGTGTTGCCAAAACGGGCATCTCAAGAAGTAGAACGACTTTGCAGTAGGATGTCGAGAAATGTCACTAATACATCTGTATAATCTGAATTTTTTGTTAACTATGCTAAAAATTTGTATAAATTAAACTTTGGTTTGTTTCCGTGAATATAATAAAGATAGACTTGATAATCAATACTGCGCATGAGAGCGATATGTTGGAGCGAGGTCAGCACTCAGCACACCTAATTAAGCAAGGTCTACCCAGAGGCAGGTTACAGGGTGGTGCGAGATAACCACGGCGAGGAGGTGTGAAAGGTCAATCCTGACTAAGTTCCCTCTCCCAGCGCAAGCAACTTAATGAGGTCACCGCACAGGGAGGTCAGAGGAGGGCGAGACACATTACAGTAACTCCTTAATTGGCTTACCGTATACTGTTATATTCTAAGTTCCGCCACCCAGGCATCTCCTCTGCCTATCGCTCGCTCCTTCTCCCTTAATACCTCGCTGAGAATGACACTGTTGTTAGGGACCCTGTCGCAAAAACGACAACCGTGAAGGAAAAGCCCTGGGCAAATGAAGTTGTTCTTTAGGTTGTAGGAGTTACGAAATGCGTTTACTACAATGCAGCTTCTGTCAACTGGTCATGATCATATGACACCTTCGAATCGATTCTGCAACTTCGAGTGAGGTCGGATGCATGGCCTATACCAGACAAAATTCGATGATGACGATTGCCCCTTTTCCTATTGCTTATGTTGGGAGGATGTTTTCTAGACCCATTTCAAGCGTTGCCAACAATTACACTTGCAATGGTGAAGGAGGGAGCGGATTTTCAGGTGGCCGGATCCGTCCTCGATACATACTCGACGCAGATATCTTCTCAACTAGGAAATGTAGAAGAAAGCTAAGAAGACCATCAGAAAGCGCAAACCTTCCGCTTTCCAAAACTATCTTCCCTTTTTCAGGATCTTACGAATTAGAGAGATATTGCTCTTGAAGTGGCAAAAACTCGCATGAAAATTTCAGCGTCCTCGACGTTTACTCGACGAAATTTGAGAAACCGGCACTATTCAACTATTACGACCCCAAAAACTCAAAATTTTATTTTTCGTCGAAACTTCGCCTATAGGGGTAATTCGGTGCCCTGATCACGAAAATGACATTCATTTTTGGCGCTGGCGCCATTGGCGCCAATTTGGCGCCAAGGGTGTTTTCACCAAATTCGCTGTAAACTTGCACATAGGGGTTATTTGGGGTCCTGATCACGAATATAACATTCATTTTTCCCTCCAGCGCCTGTGCGCGCCTGTTTTCCGCTCGTCTGCGCCCTCTCACTGATCACCTCGCGATCGGGACTAAGCCTTTGAGGAGGAGAGTGCTCCGAAGTGAATAACACTTATCCTGTGATCTTATACGCTTTAACGTTTGCCACATGTTGACTGGTTCACCCACCCCGGAGTCCTCCCTCCTTCTAGGCTCAGTCCTAGGTATTATGTACAAGTGAGAGGACCCAGGAGAATGGAAAATGTGCGTTGAACGGTGGAAATGCTAAAAACGAATGACATATCCGTAATCAGGACCCTAAATAACCCCTATGTGCAAGTTTACAGCGAATTTGGTGAAAACACCCTTGGCGCCAAATTGGCGCCAATGGCGCCAGCGCCAAAAATGAATGTCATTTTCGTAATCAGGGCATCGAATTACCCCTATAGGCGAAGTTTCGACGAAAAATAAAATTTTGAGATTTTGGGGTCGTAATAGTTGAATAGTGCCCAATCCGGCAATAGGGGAAGGCTGAAAACGGTGTGCAACCCTTTTAGACGGTCAATC